GTCAAACATGGGATGCGATGGCTGCCACATATCCCTACTCGGGTCAAGTAGATAGACATACTTACTCTACAAACACATACATTACGCGGCGGCCCATCGTATCGACCGGTGATTACGCGATGGACAGAGAGAGGGCTCGGAGACCAATACCACGGCCGGCGGTCGGCGCGCATACAATACCGCCGCGAGTGCCACAACTGCCGCCGCGTCCGTATCTGTACGACCCGAGAGCACCGCATCGTTCAGTGGCTGACATAAGGAACCCGAATATTGGTGCACCCGATTGGGAACGTATGCGCGCATATCAGAGGCATAGACCCGACCTATCAATGGATATGACACTCTTCCCGGGGCTCAGAACGGAGTCGTCGACTTCGGGACAAATTCAGGCGTCAGTGAATCGATTGACTACTCAAGAGATTCAAGACAGGGGACACAGAGACATACAGAGGCGACAAATTCAATACCTCCTGAGCCGAGGGTATCGACCGGAAAGCGGCCGCTTTACGCACCCGTCTATCAGACGTGGCGCCCGAAGTGGTTGGCCAGTGACCACTCGCGGTGAAAACACTTTCGGCCAATCGGCGTTCAGCGCCAGGGGTTGGGGTCAAGAGGGGAGGCAACAGACTTATGAGGATGTGTTGACCCCCAGAACTATTCCTACTTATCAAGAGCTGAGAGCGAGACGATTGGCCGACAGAAACCGATTCGCGCACTTAACACATCAGCCTTCCGGTCAGTGGACTCCGGAAATGAGGCGCCGACGTGAGCCAACGCAGTCGACCATTACTTCTCTGACCGGTGATTATGACACTGAATACAGACACAGACCCAATACCAGACAAGCGCGCAGAGAGCAGCTTCTGAATCGCGGCAGACTCCCGCCCGTCACTCCCCGTAATCCCAGTGTATTGACCGATACTATACCCGAAGAGGAGTGGGAGGAGAGTGGTTGACCCGAAGTACGAAGTAGTGGGTCTACAGTAGGTCTTTATACTTCAAAATTCAAATGATATTTGAATTTGTTTTTTGTGAATAACTGAATAAAACCAGTTTTCTATTAATTAAACACTTGTTTTAGCGAAATATTACACACTATTAATGACGTGTTGAAATTATGTTAAAATAATTTAACATTTACAATCAATAATAGCTAAAGTAATGGCTAACATAATTAACAAATAACTAACTTTATTACAGTAAGAGTTTTTAAAGCATTAAATAAGACAATAATAATTTTATCGTTAATTACTTTACATTAAGTCAATACACTTTTTACTTAACAAGACTTTCAATTTTTTCGGCCGCTTTTTGAAGGCTATCGGAGTTAAGCATACGTTTTGAAGCCATAGATAATTTGTGTTTCAATTCTTTATCATTCAATAGCTTTTCAATTGAATCCAATAATTGCTGTTCTGAACAGTTGTGAGGATTAAGTCTAATACCAAATCCCTTTTCATAAACTCTCTGTGCGTTATCGTATTGATCGGCAAATAATGGCATTATTATCATAGGTTTCCCGAAACTCAGTGATTCGGTCACAGAGTTGTTCCCGCCGTGTGTTATGACCACATCTACTAATGGCAGCACTTTTGTCTGCGGCAGCGAATTCTCGCCCCACATATTGTCTCCCAATTCATATGTGTCTCCGTTAACTCCCTTCGAGACAATAATCTTGTGCTGACTTTTGCTGAGAATATTCAATAATCTATTCATTAAATCAACATTTGCTGAACCAATAGAACCCAAAGAGAAGTAAATTAATTTACTTTTCTCTATATCTCTGTCCCGGAATTTATCGGGAATTTTAAACTCTTGTTTCTCTCCTCTTCTCATGAATGCGTCGACTCTTAAATACTTGTCAGGAAGTGGTCTGATATCTGTGTAATCGAGTTCTTCGGGAAAGCCATAGATATTAAGATGCGGTGAATCTGACATCGATTTGTTTTCAGTATTCAGGGGAAAGCCTTCCTCTTTCATCCACTCGTTATACATAATACTTCGTGTTTTGTGAGCATTTCTTACGAGTTCATTGAATGCAACCCATTCTTGTCGATCACCATTTGTAGGATAGCCTTCAATCAAAATACAAATACAATTTAAATGCAATTTAATTACAATTTAATTAATTAAATAAATAAAATCCATTTACCGGAACCATTGGGTGGAGTCCTGTCATCACTTATTACACACAACGGATTACTACTACACAACAAAATCCAGGGTTTGTTTGAGTGGATTAGTGTCGGAGAGCCGGCGAAGTCGTCGATGATATACACATCGGGATTATGTTTGGCTATAATTGCTTTAAGCTGTGGTTCATTGGCTCTCATTTGGTCGAGCATTATCTGAATGAACGGCCAATTCATCAGAAGTTTCATACATTTATAAGAGGTGTCGGCCGTCAAGAGTCCCGACTCGAGTGAACTTTTGGCCAGACTTTCTCCCGGCATCTGGTCTTTGGTTTCCTTTGGAGCAAAAATCTCTTCAATGAAACCAAATGGCGATAACTTTCCCGCAAATGAGTGGTGGACAGCGAAGACCACTTTGTGGCCCCGACTGACCAGTACTTCACCCAAACCTATGCAGGGATTTACGTGTCCCACGCCTTCCATCGGCGCAAACAATATCGTTAACTTTTGTGCCATTTCTACAACTTATAAATATATATAACAATAAAATAATTATAATTTATAAAATCCTAATTTATTTTACAGTTTAGAAAATTATTAATAAATTCAGTCAAATATTTTAAGCTTTTATAGCAAAATAACATAATAAATAGCACTGAAAATACTTTTTTTTACTTTTAGTGCTTAAATAGTTACATAAAAGTTTGATTTTAATCAGAAACATATATTGATAATTAGATGATAATTTTTAAACTATACTAGTTCAATTTGTTTTTTTGCATAATCTAGAGCATTTCCCCTTTAGTGCAGATCATTTCACATAAATATCCATTATATAGATTTTGCAACAAAACAATATAAGATTATAATGATAAAACCTATACAATTTACAATAATTAAATATCTATGAATTTTAGTTCTAATAATAAATTTCTCAACTTAATGCACCAACAAGTTAATGTTTTTACATATAATTGTGATTGTTGTTATCAAGTATACAGTGTACTATAAAGTGTACTACCTTTATGCTTTTTCAACCATAATTAATAATAAACTTGTATTAGCAACATTTGCAAGCGATAAATTGCATCAACAATTGTGCCATAAAAAATAGATAAATGTTTTATCAATGAATGTGTTTCAAAGCAGTATGTGTTGGTAAATGCTATCTCAGCCAGTTTAAATAGAAATATGGTGTATTGGGTTTTCATTATATAAATTATTTTGATGATAATTTTACATTATTAATGAATTTTTGACGACTGAACTTTAACTAATGAGTGACATTTATTTAATTACCAAGCTCATGATAAATTATTTAGGGGTTTTATGGCTAAATGTTCCAATAAATCATTTGCAACATAAAAGTTATTACACAATTAGCAGTAGACTTGAGAATATTGCTAAATATAATTAGCACTCAATTATTATTTGCAACTTCTATACGAGATATAAGAATATCTACCAAACAGAATATGGTTTGGATTCTCTATCATTGATCTCACGAATACTAATACAATGAGGAAAATGCTAACAAATATTAATTTTACAAAAAAAAATTTTTAATACTAATAATCGCATAAAACAGGTCCATTATAGATGTCTCAAATTATTAATCAACTTTATAATCAATGTAAATTTGTAATTAAAACACCTTGACGCGTTTTTCTAATTTTCAAATAGTTTCAGTCATATAAATCTCAATTTTCATTAGGGTTAATTACGTTAACTTAAATTTGTAAATTTTAATTTATTAAAATTATTAAATAAATTAATAATAAATAAATGTATTACACACTTATTTAACTTAAAAATATAAATTCATTTACAAATGACTAAAAATTATATTGTTCAAAATTAACAAAAAAGCAAAATTATAACTAATTTAAAAATACAAAATACAATCACTAATACATAAAACGGTCGCAAATGTCAGGTCAGGAAAGAGATGACGGAAGGAGGGGTCAGAAGCGTAAACCGGACCCACTGTCCGGTGGCTCAGCAGGTGAGTCTTCATACGGGCCGTCAACCAGCAAACAGTCAGCCCAACCGCCGCCACCCGTCAACATCAGACCCATTGTGCCGTATGTCCAACAACTGAGAAACCCTAACATCGGTCGACCCGATTGGGATCAGATGAGAGCGCATCCGCTGCACAGACCCCCTTTGCCACCACCGGATCCCTTAAGGAGTCATTTGTCCCAACACGCGTTGACCACCGGCCGTATTCTGGCCGCGAGTTCGCGGCAAACAATCTCTAACGATGTGTCCGCGAGTGGTCGACGGCGGAGACAGGAGCAGTATTTGTTGAGCAGGGGTTACACTCATGTGGGCACTCAGTTTGTGCCCGAACGTACCCTCCCGTACGCCAGCGGTTCTCGAACACCGACCGGTGCCAGACAACTGACCCCATCGTCGTTTAGCGCCCGGCGGTGGGCGAGCGAACCGGACCTACGAGAGGCCCGGAACTTACCGCCACCTCTGCGGGAACCGCCGGTACGACTGTCCAGTTTTCGAGAAAGACGGGCGGTCCGGGAGGCCGCCGAACAGGCGCGTCGACAGCAACTCTATCCAACACTAAGTGCCCGCGAAAAACTGCAATACTTAGATATAGTGAACGCTCAACATTGGACACCGGAGATGACCAGTCGGTCAGTGATGCCGCCGACCACTTATCAGACCACAGTTCAGGGCCAGAGTCTGGCCAAACAGTATATACGAGAGGCGCCGGACCTGCCGTTCGGACGACTCGATCGGAGGGCAGAGTTTGAGGAACGGTCAGAATTGCCGGCCGTTACTAATCGTGATCTCAGTGTTATATACGATACCATCGCAGAAGAGGATGAAGAGCCCGAAGAGGGAGAGATAGTAAGCGATGACGAGGACGACCAGTAATGGCACCTGTGTTTCAATATCCGTCTCATTTAAAGCACAATAGAAACAATTTATTTAGTCATTTGTAAAAACAACTAATAAAGAGAAATTAGTGATAGTTTTGTGGGTATTATTTTGAATGCAAAATCATTATTTGGTTAATAATTCCTAATAATAATCAAACAGTTTTAAATATTTCTACACATTGAAAATGATATCTAATAATACCTTTTAACTAAAGCAAAAATAATTTTCAAAAATGCAAAACATTTATCGGGAAAATCACAAATCGTAAACACAAACAAAATGTCAGACCAGGAAAGGGGTGACGGAAGAAGGGGTCAGAAGCGTAAACCGGATCCGCCATTGGAGGGATCACAGGACCAAGATCTATACGGCGGGCCGTCAACGAGCAAAATTCAAAAGCCATCTCCACCCCCACCCCCACCGGTAAACATCAGACCCCATAT